GCATCATGTAACTGTTGCCTTTGCACTTCCCTATTAGCTGCTCGCCAACAGGCAGCACAAACTCTTGAAATTCTTGACACCTATAAAAAAAAGATAAGTGAACTTGAATTTAATGAAAAACCAAAAAAACAACAAACAAAAAAACAACAACAATAAACAACTATTTCATGCAATAGAAATATATTTCTTATAATAATAATAATAAATCATTTATCTGACAAGATATGGTAAATTATACAGATCTCAAAAATATAACCAACATGACCTGTCGCTTTTATCGACGTGCAAATATTTATAGGTAGTTGCAGTATTATCCAGAACTCAATCTTTAAAAACTATATATATTATTTATATACCATAGTCATGATTGAGTTAGTTATTATATAATCAATTTCATTAATATACTACATGACAATTGTGCAATGTAAAAAAAAATGTCAAAGTCATGTTTCAGTTAGTATTGAAATCAATTTAAATAAATTATTATTAATATAACATTTCAATCATGCAATGCAAAAATAATAATAATGTCACAGTCATGTTTTAATTAGCATTGAAATCAATTTTAATAATTTATTATTGATAATAATATCTTATACCATACCTGATGTGCTGGAGTCCATCTAAGAATATCATCTTTCTGGACAGTGTAGTGAAACCCTGTACGATCGACTTCTTAATATGGATTTTCCACAACCAAAACAGACTTGTTGATGGCCATATTGTGGTGCAGGTACTTCTTCGGTGGTGTCACTAGCTTGTAATAGCATAAAGCATTCGTTGCACACTATGCCCCCATTCAATATCTATAACAAGTTAAATATATTTATATTTATTTGAACATATGAATGAAATTAAAACATTATCTCACGGTTGCTATTGTATAACGATATATTTTTAGTAATATAAGTAAATAATTACTTACAGAATCAGGTGCGATCCATGAGCTTAAAACATTAAGCATTGAATTGGATAGCATGTCCAAAGAATGTACTGGCTGTCGTCGTGGCACTGATATACAACAGTTAACACAACGTCGTTGCATACTGCCTGCGTTTTCTTGTGTAACACCAGATGCCATTGTAAACAAAAATAATTACAATAAACTAAGAGTCCAAATATCTCTGTCAGAATCACTAAAGGTAACTTAACACTAAATCAACGAGTCCAATGCTCTCTTTCCCAAAAAAAAGTTATTAACGGAGGATTACTCAACTCAACATTAAAACTATTCTGCCACAATAGACCACTGAAAACACAAATTCAATTCAAAATTGAAAACTGTACTTAAGTAGTTAGTCACTCGGAACAAACAACAAACACGTTGACAGCTACCTACTTCACTTGCCTATGGTATATATTTCGATTTGATTCTATAGGAATCGATTCCTACACAATCGATTAATAAATGTTTTATTTTTCAATGCAAATGCTTAAAATGTTCAAACCATGAGTTAATTTATATATGATTAAGTAATTATATATAACATAACTGATAATTTAAACAAAAATATATTCCCTTTTTTAATCTAAGATGTGAATATGTAGTACACATATAAAAGTTTTTGTATGCGATCTACTGTTTGATGAACAAAATAGTCCGCAGACAAAAAATCCTCTTTTGCACAGCCCATTAAGTTCCTTTTAGTTTTTAGATGCAATGAAAGAGAGCAATCCCTGGTAGGTACAGTGAGATAGTCACAACACAGGTCTTACAAATGATAACTTTATGAATTTAATGTTATTTATCATGATATAATATTGGTAAAAATGCTCGTATCCATCATACAAACATTTGCCTCACCGGAATTCGAAACCAGGCCCTCTGAATAGGCGATTTGGGGAAAATAATCTATCCATCGATCCATACAAAAATCAAACTCGCATCGAAGACCTCAAAATAAAAAATGACTACGAATTAACGAATGATCATTATTTCGTAGTCATTTACGGTGTTTGGTAAAAATGTTTCAGGCTATTTACAATTGTTCTATGCTTTCAATTATAATAAACGTTTTATTTTTTCTTTTTGAAGTGAAACTTCTTTACGCACTCTTGACTTGGGGAGTAAGCTAGCGAACGTAAGCGTTAAGAAAAGTGTGATCGGGCGAGGCGAATGGGAGTTGAGTGGGGGATGTAAGCATGAGAAAGCAGTGCGCGTGCACATTTTCTTTCTCTCTTCCTCTCATAGCCAAATACGTTCCGTATATCTAAGCATAGTGCAAGCCTATTGTCTGTATCACAGTGTAGGAGCAAGAGCGCGCGCACGCATTTTCTTTCTCTTTTTCTCTTACAGCTAGTAAATGAAAGAAGTTTCACTTCAGTTGTGTAGTCATAAGCACACTCGTTTTTTTATGTTAAGAATATTTAAATAAAGAAATATAATCGATTTTTTTCCTACGATAGTATCGACCAGGTGATACATCTTTTGTCTATGGTTATTGGTTATTTACTCAGTTTAATAGTCATTTATTTATTATTTTAAATATCCGCATAATATTTACATAATAAATACACATATGAAATGATAATTCAGAAGAAGATTTTTGATACATAAATGCGTCAAGCGCAATCTAGGCGGATTTGCCCATTCTCCTTTGAGTTTTTTCAAATAATACTTTGGAACAATGTAGAACAAACATAGAACAACCCAGAACAACCTAGATAATAATAAAATTCAAAAAGTGGGGGGCTAACTTCACAGAGGTGGGGCTTTCTCAAAAACGGTTTTTTTTGCCTGACAGCTTCAAATTTGAGTTTTTTCAAATAATACTTTGGAACAATGTTAGGAACAACTAGAACAACTTGGAACAACTAAAAAAATATTGAATTTCCAAACATGGGGGGCTACCATAAAAAAAGTTTTTTTTGTCTGGCAGCTTCAAATTTGAATATTTTCAAATAATACTTTGGAACAATGTTAGGAACAACTAGAACAACTTGGAACAACTAAAAAAATATTGAATTTCCCAACATGGGGGGCTACCATAAAAAAGTTTTTTTTGTCTGGTAGCTTCAAATTTGAGTTTTTTCAAATAATACTTTGGAACAACGTTCGGAACAACTAGAACAACTTGGAACAACTAAAAAAATATTGAATTTCCAAACATGGGGGGCTACCATAGAAAAACGGTTTTTCTTGCCTGGCAGCTTCAAATTTGAGTTTTTTCAAATAATACTTTGGAACAATGTAGAACAAACATAGAACAACCCAGAACAACCTAGATAATAATAAAATTCAAAAAGTGGGGGGCTAACTTCACAGAGGTGACAATAAAACTTAAAAATCGAACAATGAAATAACCAAACGCTCAATAAAAGTCTTTCGAAGGTAGCTCGACAAATTAAATAAAAGTTTTATTCTGACGACGAAGCCTGTAAAGGCTACGAAACGTCAATAAATAAATAAAGTTTCGTGCATTAACCCGTAAAAACTAGTTTTATTTAATGAGTGATGTGCGTGAAAACCTAAGAAACAAATAATATTTTTTTTGTATAAATAGTAAAAACCCCTGCCAATTCCAAATACATTCCCCTCCATACTCTGTAAGATTATGGAGCGTGTATTGAACAACCGTCTCCTCGCTTACCTCGAAGATAACGATCTACTCAGTGACTGCCAATTCGGTTTCCGCCGTGGGCGATCTACTGGGGATCTTCTTGTGTATGCTACCCACTTATGGAGTGAAGCCATAGAGAAACGCGGCGAAGCTCTCGCCGTTTCTCTTGATATTTCTAAGGCTTTTGACAGGGTCTGGCATGCAAGTCTCATTGGCAAGCTTCCTTCATATGGAATCGCTGTCGGACTTTGCAACTGGATTGTAGATTTTCTGAGGGGCAGATCGATACGAGTGGTCATTAATGGCACATCGTCGGATCTGCTTGGTATTAATGCCGGTGTCCCCCAGGGATCTGTCCTCTCCGCAACTCTTTTCTTGCTGCACATCAATGATCTGCTCCTAACTCCCGGTATCTTTGGGTATGCAGACGACAGCACAGTTTCGGGGAGATATCTGCCTGATGTGAAGTCTGATGCAGATGTCCGATCATTAAGGGAGGCGATGGTGGAGGGAGTGAATGCAACCCTAGAAGCTGTTTCCCTCTGGGGTGAAGCCAACTTGGTTGGATTCAATCCCTCTAAAACACAGGCCTGTCTCTTCTCGACAAAACGGAGTCCATTCCATCAGACTCAGACTTTCCGAAATGTCTCCGTGCCGGTTAAAGACCATCTCGAGCTCTTGGGTATGGACATCTCATCCAGCCTCAATTTCGGTCGCTACATCGAGTCCATTGCTAAAACCGCTGCCAGAAAACTTGGAATACTTTCTAAGGTCAGGCGATACTTTACATCTGAGCAGCTCCTTAACCTTTACCGAGCCCAAATTCGCTCCTGCTTGGAGTACTGTTGTCACCTTTGGGACGGATCTGCTCGGTATCAGCTGGATGCACTGGACTCGGTGGAACACCGTGCGAAGAGACTCATAGGCAATGACGCTCTCGTTGAGGCTAATCTTCAGAGCCTTGACCACCGAAGACGTGTAGCTTGCCTTTCGGTGTTTTATCGGTTACATTTCGGAGAGTGTGCGGAGGTATTACATAATTTGATCCCCCCTTCCCCTTTCCACCACCGGACGACCAGGCGCGGCGAGGGCTTCCACCCTTATGTTGTGGAAGTTCCTCCCATTCGCACGAAGCGATTTGCTTCGGCCTTCATTATACGAACGGCTAGGGAGTGGAACTCCTTGCCGAGGTCTGTTTTCCCGGACCAATATAACCTGGACATCTTCAAGGCCAGAGTGAACAGGCATCTTCTAGGCAGGCGTGTACCATCCCAGGCCTCATCATCGCTTTCCATCAGGTGAGATTGTGGTCAAACGCATTGCCTATCTAGCATAAAAAAAAAAAATCCAAACAGCCATTCTAAACACAGATGCTAACAATTGGCACTTTATTTTTAATACTGTCAAATACCCTATTAAAAAGATAACATTTAATTTCAGAAACACCAACCTGGCTTGGTAGAACACACTATAGGCTGGCCATTAGACAAGAATACTTACGGTGGATCGTTCATCTATCATTTGAACGTCTCTGAGGGTGAAGCCCCATTAGTGGCTGCGGGCTTCGTTGTGGGCTTGGATTATTCCAACCCTTACATCAGCCCGTTCAGGGAGTTCCAGCGGTTTAAACTGCATCCGTATATCAAGCCTCTGTTTGAGGGTAAGTTATTAATGTTAAGTACAGTTTGATTAGATTTCTTCTTTGATGGCCCTTTCGACTTCTTGTCAATGTCCAAAATACATGTCCAGGTTTATTTGTTTATTAAGTTTTCACTCATTAAATGCAACACGCTTATACGAGTTTGAAAGACGTTTTCTATATTACTTTCAATAAAAGTGTTTCGACTGTACTAAGGGTACAGAAGGTACTCGCATAGCTTAATGTTTCAAGTTTCCCTTTTTTGTCAATTTTTTAATGACCTTCTCCAACGATATTAAATACCCTAGATACAACAACACGAACAAAATCGTGGCCGAAACGTGTCCAAAAGGTACATTGGACGATCCACGGAGCTCCGTAAGATGATCGCGTGGTCAAAAACCATATAATGCATTATTTAAACATTGAAAGTCACCTATAATGCATACTGTATAAGGTCTTAATTAAAGCGCATGCGTCAAAGACTTCAGACAGTTCGAAATGCAAGCTCGTAAAATTTTACGAGTTATTGCTATATGCGGAAGAATATAGACCTTATTCTTTTGATTCTACGCGCAATTCTGAATGTGCTGTTAGCAATATAGCAGGTACGGACCGCGAGGAAAAGAGACGGTTATACGTCGCCGACCATGCATTTGTATACCACAAATATTTTCTATTAAATCAGTTTATAGTAAGTATTAGATAAAAAAAATTGTTTCAAATGCCTTAAATTAGCAAACATTGTTTAGATACCTGTCGAAAAAACGGCACTTTTCGTATTATATGTATTTTTTTCGCATTTTTGAAGGGAGCTATGTGGCATCTTGACTTTGTAACGGTCCGTGCGTGACTATGAACCAAGAAGCGCTTGAGTGGAGTTCAAGCACTTCTTAATTGGGACACATTTTGAGCGCTTGAATGTATCTAGGGTATTTAATATCGCTGCTTCTCTCCCTTTTTGTTGATCAGGAGGCACTCGCATAGCCTATGGAGCTCGCGCCCTAGTAGAGGGGGGCTGGCAGTGCTTACCGGGTACATCGTTCCCTGGCGGGGTGTTAGTAGGAGATGCAGCTGGATTCCTGAATGTGCCCAAGATTAAGGGGACACACAACGCTATGAAGAGTGGTGAGTTTCTTAGTATGTAAACAGTTGCCCAGTTAAGGAGCTCGATGGCGCAGGTGGTTAGCGCGTTCGGCTGCGATCGTTGAAGTTAAGCAACTTTCGCAGTGGTCGGTCATTGGATGGGTGACCAAAAATCTTCTATCTTGAATTCCTACGTGATTCGGATGGCACGTTAAGCCGTTGGTCCCGGCTGCATCTGCAGTCGTCAGCACCCACCTATCCGCACTGGGCCCGCGTGGTGGGTCATGGCCCAATATCCCTAACCCATCCATACGGAAGGCCTGTGCCCCAGTAGTGGGGACATTAATTGGCTGGTGATGATGATGAAACAGTTGCCTGGAAGAGATTGCTATTTAGCAATAAGGCCGCCCATTGTGTGATGTCTCTCTGTCAATTTACTTTTCTTGGTGGTGGCGGTGATAAAGATATTTTTTGCGAAATCTGAAATGGGTACAAAAATCATTAAAATATATATTGGATAAATGAGTTCAACATCATCATCATCAGCCTATAAATGTCCCCACTGCTGGGGCACAGGCCTTCCCTATGGATGGAATGGGGATGAATAATATTTTTGGTCACCCATCCAATGACCGACCTCTGCGTAATGACTGCGAGTTATTTTGTTTTACTTGATAAGAAAGATAATGGATGGTTTTCTTGAAGAGCGTTTATATATCGATACATATTAATCATTACAGTATAGAAGTGAAATAATTCAGCAGACTTAGTAAGAAATAAAAAATAAGACTGAAAATCGAACTCTGCCGAGACTAAAATTTGATCGACCATAGTATTTAAGTATGAAATTTACTTTGCCCTCCCCCCCTATCATGAGCACTGCGATATGATATATAACGCGTTTTTATCACGCTCAATTGTCAAAATACTATGGAGTTTGACAGTTAGACGCGATAAAAACGTGATATGTATATGTATAATGTAAATTGCGGGGCTCATGCTACGGAGACTGGTGTATGAATATATTGTGTTATACCGATACATTTAATCTTGTAAAAAGAGCTATTAAACTTTCTAATGTCTTATTCAATGACGTCACACGCAAGTAAACTTCCGGTTAAAGTGACATTAAATTGTATCGTTTGGCGTTTTAATAACAGTCGTGTGACGTCACACCCTAGTAAGACGCCATATAGAGAAACGTTTCGCGGCAACTTGAAAATGGAGTTTTTGATTTGGCTATTTTTACTGAAATGCTCAACAGAATGATGAATATCCACTTTTTACGGACTCAATAAATATTAGTCAATAACGTGAGATCGTTTTCTAAAATTTTTCAAATACCCTATTGCTATTATGTTTGTAACAGGAATGTTAGCAGCCGATACAGCGATGGATCTCATAATGAACGGAGAAGCGAACCACGAGAAGGGAGTGCTGCCAACTGCTTACGATGACAAACTTAAGAATTCTTACGTCTACAAGGACTTGAAAGTACGTACATATGTATTTTTTAAATATCTAATATATAAAATTCTCGTGTCAGGGTGCGCGGAATTGAACTACACCGAAACGGCTTGACCGATTTTCGTCAAATTTTATATGCATATTCAGTAGGTCTGTAAATCGGACAACATCCATTTTTCATTCCCCTAAATGTTAAGGGTGGTCCACGCTAAAAATTTTTGTTTTTTTGGACAAAATGTTTTGGTTTTTATGTTTTATGATACATATACAAAAATACATACAACCGTAAAATTTACACTCTTCTACCACTAACCCCTATTTTTTATGGCGGTACGAAGTTCGCTGGGACAGCTAGTACTTATATATTTTTTTAGCATTTAACTGCTAGATGTTTAAATCTAAAAAAAATTTTAATAGAAATAAATCCACGTGGACCAGGTAGCAGACGGGACTCGAACCCTCACCCTTCGCTATCCGGGAGATCGCGGAGGGTGGTGGGAGGCCATCCGTTGATGGCCGTCTCGAATTTTTTCTGGTATTTTTTAGGCTGCAAGGTAGCGCCATCTCTTTGCATTGTAGGTCAACTCACAATGTCAAATGAATACCTTTACAAGTATTAAACATTTGAAAGAAGAAGAAGTGTTCATTATGGTAATTTTTTCAGCAAGTGAGAAACTGCAGGCCGTCGTTCCATACTAAGCTTGGTTTATACGGCGGCGTAGCGTATTCCGCCTTCTCTACTTTGATACGAGGCAAGGAACCATGGACCCTTAGCCACGGAGGTGAGATAGTTATAATATATATATATATATATATATATATATATATATATATATATATATATATATATATATATATACATACTATATATATATATACATACTATATATATATATATACATACTATATATATATATATATATATATATATATATATATATATAATTAGTTATTATCTTCTAATATATAAAATTCTCGTGTCACGGTGTGCGTAATTGAACTACTCCGAAACGGCTCCGATTCGCCGATTTTTGTGAAATTTTATATGCATATTCAGTAGGTCTGAGAATCGGAAAATATCTATTTTTCATCCCCCTAAATGTTAAGGGTAGTCCACCCTTAAATATTTTTTTTTGGACAATTTTTTTACTTTTTATTTTTTTATGATACGTCATACAAAAATACATACAACCCTAAATTTTCACCATTCTACCACCAAGCCCTATTTTTTATGGCGGTACGAGGTTCGCTGGACCAGCTAGTAGTTATATAATATTAAATACAAGCCATGCCAAATTATCCATAACCATAAAATCTCTCCCAACAGAGTTTCAGTTTTCTGTCAACTGTATATAAAACGAAGTGCGAGTCGGACTCGCGCACGAAGGAATACGTAGGTACTATTAGTAGGTAGGGAGCAAAAACGCAAAGAAAAAGTCAAGCAGCACGAGTCTGACTCGTTTTTGGTAGGTTTTTCATATGAACTTTTATTACTTTTATTATTCAAAATCTCCCATTCCTCTGTAAGCAACATTTGCTTTAAAGGGGTATAAAAAGGCGTTTTTCTTCACGTATTCATAATTATGACCATTATGACTAACTGTAGATGTTGTATTAGTTAGTTAATAATTTGATATAAAATGGTAACACTGTTTAATTTTCAAAAGAAGAAACTGTAATAATGTATGTGGCAACATTATCATGTAGAAAATAAAATGTTGGCTGAATGAATAAAGCGTTGCTTCTTTTATAATTAACTAGCTGTGCCCCGCGGCGGTACCCGCGGTTTTTTTAGGGATATTTTCCCGAAGTAAAACGTAGCCTATTTGTTAATCCAGGGTGTCAGCTAACTCCATACCAAATTTTATCAAAATCGTTCCAGCCGTTTAGACTTGAAGAAGTTACAAACATACACACTCACATACTTTAGTGTTTAAAAGCTAATAACATCAAGAAATAAAACAGTAGATATTTATCTCCTCAGGTGCGGATCACGCTAAACTAAAGCCGGCCAAAGAAAGCACTCCCATCGAATACCCGAAGCCTGATGGTGTGATCACCTTCGACCTACTGTCATCAGTAGCTCTGACAGGTATAATACATAATGATTACAGTTTTATTGGGACACTATTGTAATAAACGACCTCCGTGGCCGAGTGGTTTGTACGCCGGGTTTCATGGTGTCGCCGACTCGAGAGGCCCCTGGTTCGAATCCCGGTAGGGGCAAATGTTTGTGTGATGAATACGAGCATTCGTACTCCAGTCATGGATGTTTAATATGTACTTCTATATAAATATGCTTAAATATGTAAAATATATGTATTCTATCCTTTACTCTAGTATCCCATAACACAAGCTTTACAGTGCTTACTTTTACGTTGAATTTTTTAATTTAATGTTAAGAAAGTATCCACTAGATCCATTCCGTCTGAAAACATTACCGAGTGGATATTATTTTTAAGTAAAATTTTCTTTACATTTAAATTAATTCAATGGTTGTTAAAGTGTCTCAAACTTTTGTTATCATAAAGAAAATTAGAAGTGTAACTCACAGCACATAAGTTAGTCAAAGGAAATGACTAAGAAACTGCCCTTAACATGTATAATTATTTCGCACTAGCCCGAAACATTAAATTATTTGTTTATTAATTATTAAGTGTTTATTATTCTCATTAAACTTTTGTGAAATAATCAAATATTTATAAGCATAAAAATTGACTTCATGTCTGTTCCAAAAGGAAAATATTCCGTTTTACATAAATAAATGAACAAATAATCTACACAAAAATTATTTATGTAAGTATGTCGAAATAAACAATATTAATTCGAAACTCCTGAGAACTATGAAATATCTACTTGGCCCTATTTGTTATAACAAATCACTGGTGGCTTAAAATAATAGATTTGATTTTTCTGATCAGACTTAAGACAAGGCTGTATTTAATTAATTCTTTGATATCTGCAAATGAACAAAATAAAACTTCACAGATTTCCTGTCAGGCCGACAACAACAAATTATTTGTATTTATTTTTGCTTTAAAGCACTTTTTGTAAAGTGTTAATCAGAGAAATTGGATAAAAGATTCTAAAAAATGCGAAATTGACGGTTCTGTAAATAATTGGCAATATCTTTTATCAAATGTAGCAAGGTAATGATGTAGTAGGTGTTTATATAGTTTTCAGTATTGTGTATATATGTATTAACTTTATCAGAAGTTCCTAGCCCTTTTTCATAGAAATAATAAACTTTCGGCCATTCAGAATTAAATATTACTAATAAGTATAAGTAAGAGCTTTGCTGACTTTTGCTGACAAGGGGGAGGAGGGGGTAAATAATTGTAATAAATCTGCTTACGTAATACTTGAACGGCCCCCATATCAGTTTCTCCATAATTAAAAATCATTTAATTAGAACTGTCTTAAAAAGTCCAAAATCAGGTAAGTTTAAAAAAATACTTAACCAATATAGAAGTGCCGCAAGGATCATTGCTCAGACCCTTACTATTCTAATAATATGATAAAAATATATCCTATATCTTTTCCCAGGTCTCAAACTATATCAAATTTCATTCAAATCGATTCAGTGGTTCAACCGTGAAGAGGTAACAGTAAGACAGACAAACAGACACACTTCCGCAATTTATAATATTAGAATAGGCTATTTGACAGTTTGCAAAATAAAGTCCGATTGTTGGCATCTGTATTTAAGTTCTCTCAGTATTCTGAGAGAACAAATGAATTAATCACTTTTCTGAAAAATCATTAAATAGAAATGATCTTTTTGTTCTATGGTCACGTGACCGAAAATGCCTGGCGAAAACTAAAATGACGTCACATTTGACAGTCGTGTTACGTCACACACTAGTGAGACGCCATATCGTCCAGAGAAACATATTCGTGGCAACTTGAAAATATAATTTTTGATTTAGTTTTATTTACTGTAATACACAACAGAATGATAAATATCCACCTTTCATGGACTCCATAAACATTAAAAAAAACTTAAGATTCTCTTCTAAATCTTGTCAAATACCCAATTATGTAAATTATGTATTATTTTCCATAGGCACAAACCACGAAGCCGATCAACCACCACATTTGACGCTAAAGGACGATTCCATTCCCGTGAACAGAAATCTCGCCGTATTCGATGGACCCGAAGCGAGGTTCTGTCCAGCTGGTAAGTAAGACAGAATTAGGCAAAGCTAATTTCATCATCATCATCAGCCTATTAATGTCCCCACTCCTGGGGCACAGGCGTTTCCTATGGATGGAATAGGGAGATTGGGCTATGACCCACCACGCGGGCCCAGTGCGGATTCGCTAACGACTGCAGATGCTGCCGGGACCAACGGCTTAACGTGCCTTCCGAAGCAGGGAGGAACTCGAGATAGAAGATTTTTGGTCACCCTTCCAGTAACCGACCACTGCGATAGTTGCTTAACTTCAACGATCGTAGCCAGATTTATCACCATTATATTTTAAGTATTAAATAACTAGATTTATAAATCTGTAGAAAATGTTACTAGGAAACATAATATTTCTTCTCTTTTGTAAAGGTGTGTACGAGTTCGTACCAATGGAGACTGGTGACGGCCAACGACTACAGATCAACGCGCAGAATTGCATTCATTGTAAGTTATATCCTACTAAAATTTGTTATGGAGTTAGCTGACACCCTGTGTGTTAACATAGGCTACGTTTTACTGCGGGAAAATATCCCTAATAAACCGCGGCTAACACCTCTGGGCACAGCTAGTTATAAATGTGCGAGTTAGTATGATTGTTACTCAATCACGCAAGAACTACTGAACTGATTGAGACGACATAGGCTCAAGCACGAGTTTTTGACAGCTCCGTAACGTCAAAGTTTCTATGAAAACTAAGCAGCGGACGTGAGAATCAACTGACTTTTTCCATACAAAATTTGACGATTACGTTACTTTATTGTTTAAAGTACAAAATCAATCTTTTTAAATAAAAATAGAGGTTTCTGGTTATTTTTTAATGTAAACAAACAGACAATAGCCATTAAATAACAGAATGAAAAAAAAACGGACATGTGCTGTTCACATGCGATAGAAGTGAAACCTACAATTAAATTGTTTCGAAAAATAAATAATAGCTTAATAAAAGAAAAAAAAACAATATAAAAAATAACGGCGCGCAGGATTGAACCAAAGATCATTTGGTGTCGACCCCAAGACCGTATCCGTTTGGCTATTTGTCTCTTGCAGAGAGTTACAAAATTACGGATACTTTGCGTCAAATACTGTCGCTTTTTCGTTTGAGTTTCAAATCACAGCGGTGCTAAAGAAGTTTTCACTTCAAAAACTCATTTTGTTGACTTGTGTAATGTAAATAATACTACTTTTAACGAGTTATATAGCGTGTTTCATATTAGTTGTGATACTTGTGGACATAAAACCTATAAAGGGTCCGAAAACACGAGAATAATATTAAAATGGGAATAAAAAATGCGTTATATAACTCGTTAATGTTTTATTTATGACTAGCGATCGCCCGCGACTTCGTCACCGTTAACTTTAGTTTTCGATAATCCCACAGGAACCGGACATTTTCCGGAATAATAAGTAACTAACATTCCTCCAGGTCATAAACTATATGCGTACCAAATTTCATCCAAATCGGTTGAATATTTTTTGCACAAAAAACACATACTTACAAACTTTCCGTTTATTGAGTAGGATTGGTGTGCGTGAAAACATAATATATTAATAGAGCAACAATGTAATCTATTTTAATTAAAATATTTAATAATTTTTCTACCCACAGGTAAAACTTGCGACATCAAAGATCCATCACAGAACATTAATTGGGTGGTGCCAGAAGGTGGTGGCGGCCCCGCTTATAATGGAATGTAAATTTTGTTAGAATCGCGACCTTAATACCTGAGCCATAAGATTGAATATAAAATACACTTCGGACACATCTATTCGTTCCACTTAATGGTATAAGCTTCAACGGCCTGTATATATGTTTATCGTTGAGTTGTAATTTTAAAAACACACGAAAAGAAGTTTAATGCATTGGCTTCAAAACTGCGTAAAAATTTTTGCTCAATATAATATTTATTTTTAGCTAGGGACCGTCAAAACTTAAAATGCTAGGTGGGCCGATACATGTATCCGGAAGTATATATAATATCAGGCAGCATATATAGTGAGCGAATCGCGACTTTATTTCCTAAGTCATAAGATTTAACGCCTTATGATAGCACTTCATATGGCTATTCGTGTTTGCTATTTGTAAACAGACAACAGTATCTCCTTTGCACTCCCCATAAAGTATAAAGAGAACCTGCCGATGACAAATAGCAAATACGAATAACCATGTGTGCCGATATCATATTGGCCAGCACAAATCCATGTAGTTACGCGTTATTTGTGTAGTAACTCAATTTTGTGTTTTATTTATTATTCAGATTATAATTGATATTAATAATACTTATGCAAATAACATTTAAACAACGCGACCTTATTACCTGAGCCATAAGACATATTATGTCTTATATTGCGCCGTACAAATCAATGAATCATGTTAATTTTCTAAAGTTACACATTTATTTGTCTAGTAGCTTAAAAATCGTTGTTTGTAAAACCCTATTTGTAATAATAAGTAAAGGACCAAATCATGAATGTGTTCCCATAATTTACCTTAGATATAAGATTTTGGAAGCAATTGTTAAAATCAAACCTTATAGGGTTAAAATAAGGAATCATTATTGGTAGTTTGCCAACTTTAATTAGATATTTTCAAGATTAACACCGGGCTAGTGATGTTTTATATCATTGCGACTGAATATAATTTTAATTTAAAAAAATAGCAAAAAAATCTGCTTCTGATGAAATTTTCACTCATTCAATGCATAAATAAAAAATATATAAAAAAACCCACATGTCCTAAAAATCACTTCACAAGCTCATCTGAAATAATTTGTATTTATAATCCATTGTTGTAAAAAATATCATTCATGAAATAAATAACGGTGGTGCATATTTATTTTACTTGGAGGTAAATTACTGACATAAGCGGCTTAGCTTTTTCCACGTTTGATACAAAGTTACCTCCAGTCACCGTTGCATGAGCACCACAATTTATATTTTATCACGTTTTTTATCGCGGCTAACTGTCAATTTCCAGAGTAGTTTGACAATTGAGCGTGATAAAAACATGCTATATGCTATATATCATATCTCGGTGCTCATGCTAGGGCCAAAATAATCTGTTTCTACTGTACTTATATATTTTTAAATAACAATATTCTCTTATAAATAATTTAAAATTTTCTAGTTATTGTAACTTTTGAGGTTTATGTTGTTAAAATATTGACTAAGATGTTATCTGAATATGTATGAATGTACAATTACATGAATTGTGAAAAAATAAAAACAAATTATCAAGTATTACGTAACCGTAACCATTCTTTGTGTTTCTTTGTTTTGCTTACTATTTGCTTTGCCAAAGGAAATCTTCGATTTTAGCCCGATTTTGTACCTTGGTACAAATTATCTGAAAAAACATCTATAATTATAATGTACTTAAAGAGACTCACTCGTGAAAACCTCAATAAGTTCAATAAAAATTACTGAAAATCTGAATTAAAAGTGGGAATCTGCGTATAAAGAAACATTATAACTTGAAGCAATTTGTCATTGACTGACGGATGACAGCTAAATACTATTGGTTGAAATTCATTTCCTTGATTGTGATTGGTTGTATCAAAAATCACGTGATTTCCGTAGCTAATTGTTATTATCATAAAGATTGACATTTACCATAATAATTATCTTTGTTGCCATTAAAATCAATGTTTGAACGACATTTTATGTAGTACAAGTGAACAAAAAACTTAATTTATATTTTTGAAGAATTGGACATATTTTTCTATACATAAATACATGATAATACTTGAGGTACAAAATTGGGCAGATTTGTATGGAGAAAAGAATGGATCCTTTTTATATAAAATTTTGTAGAAATTGATTATGACGAAAATCTATTTATGTAATACCTGAATGGCTTATGAGATTATTTTGTTGATAAAAACAATGTTTTATAGATTGACTAAGTGATGATAACTATCATGTCTAAAAGTTGAAACTTGAAATCATACAATAAATATTTATGTCTGTGTGAATGTAACAGTGTAAGTATGTATGTATTTATAGTAATGATGAATATGTACGCCACACGAGTGATACGATGAGAGATCATATCGTATCACTCGTGTGGCGTACATATGAGAGATCGTAGTATTTAAGAGTTAATTTTATACTCAAAGTTTACCTACGGCAAATATACGTCTTGTATTTTGCAAAAGTTTGTTTTTTTCAGCTACTTTGTTACTATAATACCAATAGCATCTTTTAGGATCATTTTGTTGATCATCTGTCTGTCTGCATGTCAAGATCCTTTATCTCGGGAACGCGAGGCGAGGAGGTATTGAGTTAAAATTTAAACCGTATACTACAATCCTCTGGAGCTGTGAAATAAAAAACCAGTGTGCTTATGACCACACGACTGAAGTGAAACTTCTTTAGCTACATCTGTATGTCTCTATATATGTGTGTGTGTACAATATATACATGTATGTACATATAGATATTTCATTTACTAGCTATAAGAGAAAGAGAGAAAGAAAATGTGCGCGCGCACTGCTTTCTCTTGCTTATATCCCCCCGTTTGCCTCGCCCGAACACACTTTTCGTAACGCGTAACGCATTCGCCAGCTTACCCCCTAAGTCAAGCGTGCGTAATGAAGTTCCACTTCAAAAATCCTAACTTCTAATTTATCGTAACTAAAAGATACGGTCGTTGATAATGCGTACCCACAAATGAGTGACCCCTCAGTGGCCCCGATTCTGGCTCGCTCTTATCCGGTTTTTAGGGTTCCGTACCTCAAAAGAGAAAACGGAACCCTTATACGTTCACTTTTTAGTCCGTCTGTCTGTTTAATCTGACGCACTCAAGTCAACAGTCAATGAGAAATCTCATTGACTGTTGTTTTTTCATTTTTGAAAACCTTTACTCGCTTCCACCACCCGTGAAAGGGCAATGATCATAATATAGCTCATGAAGTCGGTAAGTTTAAAATTAGGTAATGGTTTAACACAAAGTTTAAGGATGCCGTGTACTACAGTTTAGTCATAAAAATACGATTAGCGCTAAATAAAACGATTAAAAGTATTCAATGTAGCAAGAGCAGACTCATTTCCGCAGGCAGCACCCGTTCACGAGCATGATACATGAACCAGCCATCGTTTCGCTCAACCATATTATAGGGAACGCAATGACCCGTCGCCGAATAGATTTTTAGGAGAGCATGACTACCTATAACCACCCAAACCAAACTGCAAAATATTCACTTAGAATTAAGGTTTTTTATCTGTCACTGTAAACAATTAGAAAAAATAAAGGAAATGGAACAAATACGACCACGCCACAATTAAATAGGTTACCAAGATAATCCCTAAATAAATGAATTTAGCCTCTTGGTCTTGGGCTCCCATACTATAACCACTTAAAGCAACTTATCATTATCATCAGTCTATTAATGTCCTCACTGCTGGGGCACAGGCCTTCCCTATGGATGGCCATGACCCTCCACGCGGGCCCAGTGCGGATTGGCGGGTGGCTGCAGATGCAGCGGGGACCAACGGCTTAACGAGCCTTCCGAAGCATGGAGGAACTTGAGATCACCCATCCAATGACTAACCACTGCGAAAGTTGGTTAACTTCAACGATCGCAGCCGAATGCGCTAATCACACGCGCCATCGAGTTCCTCTTAAACTATAAAGCAACTATAGATCATAATAGTCCGGAAGCCACCAATACCGAAAGCTCCATTTTTATGTTTGATAACATTTTTAAAGAAAATTAAAAGATACCACTTCGACGAACAAAATTCGTTAGAACGGCGCCGATTTAGTTTGCCTAAAATATTTAAAATGGACATTTAAAAATTTATAAATTTTTAAATGTCAAAAATAATTATTTACCGTCGTCATTGGATTTGGTAAATCTTAGAGGATTTTGTAAGAAATGCAAAAACTCGGCCTACCAGTGCTTTTTGTTTGTTCAAGACTAAGTGGTATCTTTTAATTTTCATTTAAAAGATATTAAGCCTAAACATGGAGCTTTTGGGATTGGTGGTTCCTCGCTTATAAGCTGAACGTTAGGATGAACGCCCAGAATAATAACTAAAGTAAAGCACTTTGACTTCTTTACGATATGACGTAGTAGTTAAGGTGCATGGTTTCCTGATTCGGTTTTCTGATCAGGAATTCAGATGCGGAATTCCGTGAGCCGGTTTTCGTTTTTTTTTATTTCATAGTTTCCACACCGAAAGCTAGGTTTTTATTCCATTATAAAAAAATAAGAATAAAGCACCTCGTTGAACATTTTGTACCTAATGACGTGGACTCAAGTCTCAGAATCGGAGTTCTCTCTGATCAGGAAAACGTACTAGTGCGCCCAGCCTAAAATACCTAAAAAAGTGTTCAGGAATTGTTATAATAAAAAAGTAGTTGACATAACTTGCCAAAATGAATGACAATATTCCGCGAACTCTACGTACAGCTTTTATAACATTTTACCTTTTTACGAGAAATTTATGTAGAAATGAAGATATCATGGGACTGTTCAACAATACTTCTCACATTTTTGTGGATCTCAGTAAGATTTTTACTATTTTCGCGTTCTCTTTATTAGGTTAGGTACCTATTTAGTTAATTAATGCGAGTGGAAATTTCATAGTTTTGAATACTTAGTATACTCTATAAGTCGCTTTTTACGCTGTTGAATAAAGAACATTCATATGCCAGCAGGTGATATTCTCACGAATGTAAATAAAAGCTTACCAAAGCACAAATATTTCGGAAACTTTAAGTAGATGATGAGCTGGACTGGAAATGTAACTAGAATTATAATTTTTATTTTTTAAGCATGTAACTGCTTGATGCTTAAATCTAAAGAGAATACTGCCTAGCCCGCGTGGTTTTTTTCAAGTTATATTTTCTTTAGATTTAAATGTAACTAGAAATTCAGTAACACCACTCTTCTTAATTGTAATTAAAATGTGCTCTGTTAAGTTACAGATATTTTTGAGAGCCAGGCTCGCTGTTCAAGGGCGTACCCAGGATTTCAGCTAGGAGGGGGCAGCTCATACCTGTTTCGAGATGGTCGGGCGGGTATATTGAAACAAAAAATCATGAAAATTGACTTTTATTAATTAGTTTGATTATGACACAAAACAAAATATATAGGGTTTTGTCTGTCCGCTCGATGGTTAGCGTCCAGATCCCTTTGTTTGTATGGTAAGAAAACAATAACTCCCAAGTCCGTGTAAAACTGTATAATAATTAAACTCACAAATGTAAAATAGAAAAATATAATATAAATACGAAAATGGTTATGATTGGTATTGAGCACGCGTCGCGTTAATGGTAGCTAATTACGTACTAAAATTATTTCCATATTTTATGTATAAAGTGCAACTTGCTGAATTGCAAATTGATGCGCTGTTCGTTTGCGAAGCACCGAACATGCTCCCGCGCGCTTGAGATGAGATGAATGGAGTTTAAAGATAAATTGAAACAAATGCTTCCCTATTGATTAACTTTTATATTATTATTTTATTAAATGAACTATAGGTATTAAGTAAATAATTTATAATATTCCATATGGTTGTGTTATCTGCCTGTTTCAAAATAACGGTATTGGTATGTTTCTTCAAAGATTTTTTCATCTCTAATGTGGTTTCGTAACTGGTTTTTCCTTCGTTAGTGGTTGTAAATGATGGGAGCCACGAAGGGCCTTGCCACCATAATTCATGAATTTTCAGCTGCTCTGTAGTTAATCCGCGAGTTGCGCAGTCGGCTGGATTCTCATCACTTTTCACGTAACGCCATTGGTGGGATGGTATAGATAGTTTTATTTCTTTGACACGATTCGCCACGAATGTGTTCCATCGGGCTGGATCTCCGTGTAACCACCCTAGCACGGCTGTAGAATCCGTCCAGGCGTACACATGTATGTTGTAATCTTGGAAACAATTTAAAATTTTGGTCATCAAATCAGATAAAAGTTTTGCGCCCATCAACTCTAATCTAGGAATTGACACTTCTTTACTAACCGGAACTAATGTAGCTTTTGCGGCGACTATTGTTATGGTGAAGTCATCGCCATTAATAACTTTATAATATATTATTGCACCGTATGCTTTTTTGGACGCATCACAAAATCCGTGAAGATGTACAATTTGGTTTTCTTTTATTCCCAACCACCGGTTCACCTCAATAGTATTTATATTATATAAATAATTTTTTAATTTACTCCATTCGTTATTTATATCATCTGGTAATGAATCATCCCAATCTAAATCGCTTAACCATACACTTTGAAAAAGTATTTTCAGATTGGTGCTCAATGGTGTAAGCCACCCCAAAGGGTCAAAAAGTTTGGAAATATCCGAGAGCAATGATCTTTTGGTAGGCGTTGATGGTGAGGTTGTATTTATTTTTGACTCAAAAGAAAATTTATCCTTTTGCGGGTCCCAACTTAATCCTAGGGTCTTAGAAGAGTTTATTTCTTTAAATTCATATTATGTTTTTTGGTTTCGCTGGTTCATTTCTAAGCCTTCTAAAAGTTGAGGTTTGTTTGCCGTCCATTTTCTCAGATTAAATCCCGCTGATTGTAGTAATTTTATTAAGTCGTCTCTTAATTTTAAAGCAGAATTAATACTATGGTGCCCTCCACAATAATCGTCCATGAAAAAATTGTTATCTAAGGTTTTTGTTGCGTCAGGAAAGTTATCTTTTTCATCTTATGCCAATTGTTTCAAACACATCATAGCCAAAAACGGTGCTGGTTTTGTACCGTACGTGACTGTGGTCAGTTGGTAAGTCACAATAGGCTGGTTTGGATATTCTCTTCATAATATTTTTTGATAAATCTGATCATCACTGTGTTCTTTGATCATACGATACATTTTCTCAATGTCTGCAGAAAATACGAACTGGTATTGCCCTCATTTTATTATTAAATCTTGAATGTCCTGTTGGAGATTTGGTCCTCTGTACAAGACGTCATTAAGGCTTTATCCGGTTTCAGAATTAGCTGAAGCGTTTAAAACGACTCTTAATTTGGTAGTTGTGGTTTCTTCCCGGGTCACGGCATGGTGGGGTAAATAACTTTCGGATGTTTTTTTTTTCGATGGTATCATGTGGTTTAAATTGCAATACTCATTTATAAATGCATGGAAGTCGGTTTTCAAGCTATTACTTTTATGTAATTTCTTTTCCAAATTTCTATACTGTGCTAAAGCCTTGGCTCTGGTGGAACCAAATTTTTCTTTTAATTCGGTGTTAAATGGAAGTCGTACCTCATATTTTCCGTCTGCTTGTTTTACGGTGGTTGATAAAAAATATTGTAAACACTTATAATCCTCATCAGACATTTCTACCTGCTGGTTAATGTCTTCGTTTTCCCAAAATCGAGACAGATCATCGGTATTGTGAAGAACAACGTTGCATTGGTAAAAAGGTTTCATTGAACCACATAACAGCCATCCTAATTGCGTCTGCTGCGCGATTGGTTGGTCTTCATTTTCTCCCCGTAATATACCTCCTAACATAATCTTACTATAAATGTCTGCTCCGAGAAGTAAGTCTACTGTTCGACTTGTATTAAACTGTGGATCGGCTAAACTTATATTTTGTATGTGCGACCAAGATGGTTTAATAAAAGTTTTATTTGGCAAGTTTTTTATCAAGTTATTCATAATGATAACGTTGGTGTTCATATGAAAATATTTTTCCTTTGCAATTATTCTCCTTTTCGCCCACTCCATAAATTTTTCCTTTGCAATGGTTTCTTTTTAATCCTAAAAGCTGCGCCGATTGCTCACTTATAAGAGAAATCTGAGAGCCTTGGTCAATTAGTGCTCTCATGGTATGCTGACTCCCGTCTGATCCCGTTACTTTGACCAGTGCAGTAGCCAAAAGAATCTCAGATAAATCATCCCAGGATACATGATTAGAGGTTGATACACGATCTTTATTAATAGAATTGGGCACATTCGGTTTAAAGTTCGAGCTCGATTTCGCTGACATATTCAATTGTTGTTTGGTCAATGCCTCGTGTAATAGCGAATTATGGTTGCTTAGGCACTTGCGACATCGCTTAGTGGAAAAACATGATTTATTTAAATGATTTATTAAGCAATTATGACAACAATTCAGCTGGTTGACGGACTTTAGTTTTTGCTCGTCAGACATTTGCAGAAATTTGCTACATTGCCATAATCCGTGTTCAGCATTACACAATGCACAGGAAATGGACCGCGCTATATGGAATGTTTTTACGGTTTTAGCATTATTTGAATGACTTTTCTGTGTGTTATAATTATGATTATTATAATACTTTTGATTAGATGAAAAATTTTGATGCATCTGTTGGTTATGGTTATGTATGGTTACTTTTTGACTATTTGGTTCTTGTTTACGTTTTGAGGCCTCCAATGTTGTAAATTTGCTCTCTAAATAATCAAAAAATTCTTGGAGATTAGGCAACTCTCGTGGTTTTTTCACATATTCCATATATTCAGAAAATGATTCACTATCGAGTTCTCTTACCCCGTCACAGTGACAAGCGTACTGCTTTTCGACTTCGTTTAATTAAACGCTTTAACGAAAAAATGCACTTTTTTAAAATTTGGTTTTAAAAAAGTGCATTTTTTTACGTCGCATTATAATAATTCGCATGCTGTATTAACCGGCTCACGAAAGATGGCACGCCGACGCGGCGCTGTAGTCGCGCGTTCTATGTCTGTGATATTGTGAAATATTTAGTTCCAAGGAATTCCGCGTACCCATTTTTCGATACTGTGGTGGACTAGAAGGATCGAAGTATGTAGTTTCCTGGCAAAGACATAGATGGCGGGATTTGCACTTTTTAAGTAAAAAATATACTTGCACTTTTTTAAGTGAAAAGTTTACTCACACTTTTTAAGTGAAAAGCTTATAACGCTTATACTTAAAAGCGTGCTTACAAGCTTAATATTTAAAGCGCGCTTATTTAAGCGCTTTTCGTTTAAACGCCCACCGCTACTCGCGAACCGAAGTCCTGATTTCTCGAAGGACCATGAAAAGGTTTTGTCTGTCCGCTCGATGGTTAGCGTCTAGATCCCTTTGTTTGTATGGTAAGAAAACAATAACTCCCAAGTCCGTGTAAAACTGTATAATAATTAAACTCACAAATGTAAAATAGAAAAATATAATATAAATACGAAAATGGTTATGATTGGTATTGAGCACGCGTCGCGTTAATGGTAGCTAATTACGTACTAAAATTATTTCCATATTTTATGTATAAAGTGCAACTTGCTGAATTGCAAATTGATGCGCTGTTCGTTTGCGTAGCACCGAACATAATAATCATAATACACATATATTAATTTAAAAGTAATCTTCTCGGATTTGCCGCCGAAAATTTGTCTAAGACAGTCTTTTGAATAAACTGACTGTTTTCTTTTAAATAATTGCGATGTACGCTCATCAGACATAAACCCGTAAGCCTTTCTTCACCCATGGTGCTTCTAAGCCACGTTTTAACTCTTCAAAGCGTACTGAAGGACCGTTCTACGGTCGCCGTGGTGCATGGGATAGTGCTTAAAA